CTTGTGTATTTTTTTATTGTTTTTAATTCTTCCACTATTAAGACATGAAATTTGACCAGATGCAGAAATCCAATCTACATAATGAGAACATGACAATCATGATGGTTACCACTTATCAAGCTTACACACCAGATACTTGCTGTGGTTTGAACATTACGTGAACTTATTTCTTATTCATTATAACATGACCTGGTTAATAATAATATAGTTGTTTCTAGTATATAAAGGAAGTCACTAAAGGTAAAACAACTTTTCTACAGCCAGGAAGTGGTGGCACACACCTTTAATCCCAGCACTTCGGAGGTAGAGGCAGGCGGATCTCTGTGAGTTCGAGGCCAGCCTGGTCTACAAGAGCTAGTTCCAGGGAAGCTCCAAAGCTACAGAGAAACCCTGCCTCGAAAAAACAAAATACAATAACAACAAAAAACCACTTTCCTACATTCAACCAGCTAGTAAATGCCAGAGCTGGTGTTTGGCCCCATGGCTGTCTGGCTTCAAAGCCATATGATCTTTATTGCTGCCTCAGAAGTCTGGAATGGTGGGTACAGAAAATCTAGTTAGTCCTAAATTGAAAGAAACTTAATCAAATCACGTGTCTTTCTTCCCTGAAGTTTTCCTAGATGTAGAATGAGAGCAATATCATTTTCTTTTCTCATCACAATGAGATCCAGAAGCTCATGGGATATATATACTCACAGCATTCCATTTTAGCTAAAAAGATCTGTGGACACACAAAACGTGTCTATGAATGTTCATGTTTGGTTATTCATATCAACCAAAGAATAGAAACAGCAATGACCATCAGCTAGTGAACAGATAAACTGTTGCACATAACAATGGGATAGTTCCCAATCACAACATGGGTGAAGTCATAGATGAATCTGATAAACACTAAGTAAAAAAAGCCACACACAAAAGGCTACTTTTGTACGGTAGGATTTCACTGCCACGAAAAATCTAAAACAAGGAAATGCACGGGGATCAAGGTAGATTAAAAGTTGCCAGGGGTTGAGCCATGGGGTTTTAAATTATAGTGAAAGCTACTGCTAATGGCTATAACACTTCTTTTGGGAAGGTAGAATATTCTCTAGACAGACAGTAGTGATGGTTGCATAACTCGGTAAATGCAGTAACAACTACCTAATTGCACACCTTTAAAGGATACCATTTATGGGGCATGAATTACATCTCAATATAGCTGTTTGGTTTATTGTTAAGAACAACTCTGGAATGGATGGAAATAGAGAACACTATCCTGAGTGAGGTAACCCAGACCCAAAAAGATGAATATGGCATGTACTCACTCATTAGTGGATTCTAGCCATAAATAAAGGACATTGAGCCTATAATTCATGATCCTAGAGAAGCTAAATAGGAAGGTGTACTCCCCCCAAAAAACATGTAGTTATCATCCTCCTGGATACTGGAAGTATACAAGATTTCCAGGCAAAAATTGAGAGTTTGGGGGTGGGGGTGGGGGTGGAGCGGGGGTAAGGGGAGATGGGGAGAAGTGAAAAGGGGAGGATGGGGAGAGCTTGGGGGAATGGGACAGTTGGGGTGGAGGAGGAGTGGATATGGGAGCAGGGAAGTATATATCTTAAGGGAGCCATTTGAGGGTTGGCAAGAGACTGGACTCTAGAGGGGTTCCCAGGTGTCCAAGGAGATGTCCCCAGCTTGTTTCTTGAGCAGCTGAGGAGAGGGTGCCTGAATTGGCCCTATACTAATAGCCACTCTGATGAATATCTTTTTGTTTGTTTGTTTGTTTTGTTTTGTTTTTTTGAGACAGGGTTTCTCTGTGGCTTTGGAGCCTGTCCTGGCACTAGCTCTTGTAGACCAGGCTGGTCTCGAACTCACAGAGATCCGCCTGCCTTTGCCTCCCGAGTGCTGGGATTAAAGGAGTGCACCACCACCGCCTGGCTTCTGATGAATATCTTGCATATCGCCATAGAACCTTCATCTGGCGATGGATGGAGATAGAGACAGAGACCCACATTGGAGCACTGGACTGAGCTCCCAAGGTCCAAATAAGGAGCAGAAGAAGAGAGAACAAGAGCAAGGAAGTCAGGGCCACGAGGGGTGCACCCATCCACTGTGACGGTGGGGCCGATCTAATGGGAACTCACCAAGGCCAGCTGGACTGGGACTGATGGAGCATGTGATCAAACCGGATTCTCTGAATGTGGCTGACATGGAGGGCTGACTGAGAAGCCAAGGACAAAGGCACTGGGTTTTGACTGTACTCCATGTACTGGCTTTGTGGGAACCTAGTCTGTTTGGATCAACTTCCTAGACCTGGATGGAAGGGGGAGAACCTTGGACTTCCCACAGGGCAGGGAACCCTGATGCTCTTTGAACTGGAGAGGGAGGGATGGGGGAATGGGAGGAGGGGAAAAGAAATGGGAGGAAGGGAAGGAGGTGAAAATTTGTAATAATAATAATAATAAAAAGGAAAAAAAGAAAAAGAAAAGAACAACTTTGGAGACCATGGCAGTCAAAGCAAATACATGTAAAAATACTTTGAAAAAATGTATTATAGAAGTATTGGACTATTTTTGACAGTATATATTACATGGTTATAAAGAGACACAGTGGTACATGTCTTTTAGTCCCTGCACTGGAAGGCAGAGGCAGGCAGATAGACCTCTGAGTTCCAGGCCAGCCTGATCTATAGAGAGAATTCCAGGACAGCTAGGGCTACACAGAGAAACCCTGCCTCAGGAAAACAAACAAATGAACCTCATTACATACATTGAAAAAAAAAAAAGCATGGCCTTCTACCACTGCTGCTGGCTGCTATTTTTTCCTATGAGGATTCTGATTCCCTTCAAAGTACTTAGTTCCTCTGGCTCCTGAATACCCAGTTAATAAAACAATAATAAAACGAAATCTAAACTTGCTCTGATGGAAACCTCAGGGACTTGTCCTGCTTACAAGGAGAAAGAGGGCGAGGAAGCTACAAAACCACTAGGGCCTATGTTCAAGGCCAAAGAGGATAACAAGAATGAAGAGCTATCCAGAAATATCTGGAAGTACTTCATCAGGATTTTCTACAGTGAAGTCAGACAACAGGCCGGCTCTAAAGACGCCACTTTAGAAACAATCTGCACCCCCATATGCTGGTCAACACAAACACATCGCATTTCTCCCCTTCCCCTTATAGCAGTGGTTCTTGACCTTCCTAACGATTAGCCCCTATAATACAGTTCCTCATGTTGTGGTAACCCCCAACCATAACATTGTTTTTGCTGCTATTTTATAACTGTAATTTTGCTACTGTTATGAACTGAGTTTTCTGATGATGTCAGGTGACGCCTGTAAAGGGCCATTCAACCCCAAAGGGGTTGCAAACTGCGGGCTGAAAATCGCTGTGCTATAAGGTAAACATACAGCCTCTCTGGCGAGCTTGGCAAGCACTCTACCACTAAGCTATCCACAACCCACATTTTTCCATTTTCCTTTCAATAGTACTTGTCTGCAGCACAAATTTTTAACTTCATTTTAAAGTTAAGGAAACCGAGGCATGAACAAGCCCATCCAGTTAATAAGCAGAGTCAATCCCTTGTCAGCGTGTTTCCTAATCCCCCTCATGCTCGCCTGTCTTTCCCCAGATCATGTTCTGCATCTGCCACATGAACTTGGCCCAAGAAATTTAACTTCCCTTTGACCGCTTTGTTTTGTGGAATTCATTCTGTAAGTTTCACTTGAAACACTTGCTCAGAATAATATTAAAGGTTTTTGAATAAAGCAAACTGGCCAGACTTCTCTGGTTAATCTTTTATGAATAATGAATGAACAAGGCTAGAGATCCCTTTCCAGCTACTAAAAAGGGTTTCAGAACGGATTCAGGAATGCTGGTGTGGAGCAGCCCTGTGAATGACTCCTGGACTATGCCACTCTGGCTTCCCAGTCAATCCAAATGTTAGAGATTCTCTCCAGGAAATCAGGGAAGCTGCTTGGCTCTGCCCACAACCATGTCCTCATTTTTTACAGATGTGCTGAAATCTCTCTGTGAGTTGCTGCTTTCCAAGTTACCATTTATTATCTATCTCTTTTTCCTCTCTCCCCACTAATAGCATTAGTTCACACTTCTTTAGAAGGTGGGAAGTTTCACCATCACAAAGGAAAGCAAGCAACTGTGATGTAATCAGCAAACACCATCACATACTGTCCACTATCACCTCAGTGCAAACCTTGGCAACTCACCACAGCTGCCTCTAGCCTTTCTCCACGACCACACAGAAGGCACAGGGACCTCAAGAGCAGCAGTGATTAGGGAAGGGACAAGAGGCCACATTTTTCCTAAAAAAAAAAAACTGCTGGTTTTGCTTTTAACATATAAGAATTGAATTTCAATAGTAAACCCAGGTCTTATAGACCACTCTGTAAATTTAAAAGGAATGTACTGTATTTAAATTAGATTTCTACTCATTTAAGTCTCAATCATCTTCTTTGCAATTAGTCTTGACCTTAATTAACTTCTGACACTATCCTATCTATAAATGTGTAAGAACTCTTACTTGATGTAGAGATAAAACAAAACTTAAATTTAGACACTCCTTTCATAATGTATGCTCATTTTCCCAAGCTGTTCAGTTAAAGACAGCACCTCTAGGTATCGAACTAATGAATTAACAACTTTACAATTGAAGATGGACTTTCCCTGGGTAAAGGATCACAGATCTTTAGAACGCTAAAAAACACCAGACATATGCAGCACCTTTATTTTAGAGGTGAGAAGATGCCCAGGATACCAAGTCTCACAGATGGTTTAATCATGGGCCTTGCTCTTGGTTCCTGACTCCTTTGTTATACCTGTTGACAGCACCTGGGCTCCATACTCAAAGGCCAGAGTTCAGTTCCCAAATCTATCTCACAGAAGGAAAAAAAATCAACTCCAACAAGTTCCATGGAGGTCAGAATGGTTTCTTCACACATATCCTACCAGTACAGGAAACTGGTTCCCACTTTGAATATTTTACAATTAAATTCTTGTGACTCACCCTGCTGAGTTGATCCAATAACCTCTGGTTCTGTTCTGACAGCTCCTGGACGGCTCGTGTTTTTTCTCGGTCTGCTTCCCGAAGGTGGACCTGCTGCCGTTCCAGCTCGTCCTGCAGCTGCTTCACATCGGTCTCCAATTCTGACACTCGTCCTTCCCACTCCCCTTCCCGGTTCTCAAACCGTCTTCTCAGTTCATGTTTCTCTTGTTCTAAGTGCTGGGGCAAAAAAAAAAAAGGGGGGGGGGTTTGTATGAAAATTCCACAGTCTTTTTCTTTTCCCTTTACATACTTTTCTAAAGACAATAAGCACACAGGGCATGTTGTCCATGTCACAGCTACAGAAGTATTCTCTTCTAGACAAGGAAGGAGTTGGCTCACAAAGAAAACATCATTCCTACTGGAAACAATGTTTTGTTTCTTCTCCCTGAGCATGAGGCTCTAGACTTGGAAACTCATATTTGGAATTTAACAAGTCATCTTTTGGTTAAACTATATATTTAAACAACTAAAAATTAGCCCAACAACCAAACACTTGTTATTTTTTAAAGGAGATCTCTCTTGGAGCCATCTTTTTTTTTTTTTTCTCCTTGAGACAGGGTTTCTCTGTAGCTTTGGGGCCTGTCCTGGAACCGTTCTGTAGACGAAGCTGGCCTCAAACTCACAGAGTCTGCCTGTCTCTGCCTCCTGAGTGCTGGGATTAAAAGTGTGTGTTACCACTGTCCAGTTTAGAATCATCATTTATGCTTAACATCAGGTCAAAAGCAGCAAAGTGATTAGTTCATGGTAAGTAACAGAAAATGGGAGAGCAGATTTGTGTTTAAGTTACTTGATGTACTCAATGTTTCATTATTAGATATTTGCTACTGTATATATACTACTATATTTCAAAAGCACTAAGGCAAGTTCAGTTTTAGGTTTTATTTTATGTGTGTGTGTCTGGTGCTGGAGGTGAAAAGAGGATGTTGAATTCCCTGAAACTGAACTTACAGATGGTTATAAGCTGCCATATGGGTGCTGGGAACCAAGTCCAGAAAGAGAAGACAGTGCTCTTAACCACTGAACCATCTCTGCCACCCTGCCAGACCTATTTTAAGTCATGCATTATTAGTAAGCATTATTATTAATGTTTATTTTTGGCTCGTCCACTCATTCTTGAGTGGTTACTGAGGCACAGAAACTTACCTAGAGACATTGGTGATAGACAAGACACAGTCTTTGTCTTTATGGGTTTTCATGCCAGTGGAGGACAATAGTAAAAATAAATTGTGTGTAACAAATGGTATTCAGGAAAACTAAAGATGGTTTGAAGTAACAATTTGATCAAAAAGGAGTCCACTGGCTCGAAGGTAACAAGCGTATCTTTTCACTGTATGAGATGAACAGCGATTCAGAGGCAAATATGTTTTCCTATTTAGAAAGTAGTATGTCCAATAGCCAAATCTTTACTTCATTCTAACTAAAGTACCAGTACTTAACCTTTGGTGAGCTAACTATTCAAAGTACACTGACTTAAGCTGTGCGTAGTGCGTCATGCCTGTAATCCCAGCCCAGGGAAAGCTGAAGCAGAAGTACTTCAGCCCAGGCTACAGTGTGAGATCCTATCTCAAAAACAAAAAATAACAACTCTGATCCATTTCCTAAGCATTCAGGCAGGACTGGAATGAGGTTTTCAACACCCCAAAATGAATTTTTGACTCTCTCCCTTCAGAGTGCTAGGTCATTCTTCCTTGGAAAAGACACTCTTAATTGAAGTTCTTATCTTTCAACATAATTTTTTTTTCTTGGAATGCTTCTTTTGGAAACGTCAAGTGCCAGCTTACCGTCAAATCTGAAGTGGGCCTAAATTACAAGATTATTCCATTTCATCTTGCCACCTTATTCTTTACTGAGTGACTTGTAAATGTTTCTACAAGCCAAATTTACTCCCCCAAAATGAAAATTTATCATGTTTGAGAACAGTCAAGAGAACTTGACAAAGATAAAAACAGCAATCCAAAATTAAAATTGAGTACACTGGAGAAGGCAGTGTTCATGAAAACTTTCAAATTGACCTCATTAAGGGGACCATTCATTTGGTTATAGTCACTCAAATATACAGACTGAAAAATCACGTAACTTTATATTTACAAAATATATACGTTCAGTTTGGAGTATGTGGAAAAGGAGTAACAAGGGAGAAATGTCTACCTCTGACCAGTATGTAAACTATTTGCTCTTTTCTATCCTGATAATGCGAAACTTTCCAAACTGAGGATTTTTTCAGTCACTCTGGAAATTTCAAAGAATGCAGAAATAAAAGCTAACTTCAATTCTAAAACCGTAATTGTTGGTTTTGTCCAACATGAAAACGGCCGAGCAGAAGGCAACACCAAGAACTCAGTAACCACAGTGTTACTGAGAGGCCGGATAAATTAGGCTTGTGTTCTAAAAGAACAGAGACTTAAAAATATTTAGCCAACAGCTGCTAGTGAACAGCCCGACCAAGCAACTGAAACAATCCAATTAACTCGTAGGGTGGAGTTGAGACAGGTGGTGTTGATCGATCTAATCTGTCCTTATATTTCTTTAACAGGAAACAAACCCCCATTTCTGGTGTTTCAACTCTTGATGAATTTTGTACAGAACTTAGCCTTTGATTTACTTTAGGAAATTTCTCCTAGAATTGTATTTTCATTTAAGCATTAAGTTAACCAGTAAATGGGCTGGAGAGATGGTTCAGAGGTTAAGAGCATTGACTATTCTTCCAGAGGATTTCAGTTCAATTCCCAGCACCAACAGTGGCAGCTTACAACTGTCTGTAACTCCAACTCTAGGGGATTTGACACCCTCACACAGACATACAAGTCAACAGAAAAACCAACAAAGCACATAAAACAAAAATAAAAAAAATTAACCAGTAAAGTCTAAGGAGAATAATAATAAATATAGAGGTCACTGTCTGCCTGTGCTTCTTTTTGTTTTCCAGGGTTATATGGTACTTTGAAAATTAACAACAAGATTATCAAGGCTACCAAAACAAGAAAAGTCTAAGAGGAGGCTACAGACATAAAAACTAATGTAATAAGGAATCCTGCAACAGAAAAAAGACATTTGATACAGAATTAGGGTACTTTATTAATTATGGCATATGTTTGTGTAAGATGTTGGTAACAAGATGAGCCTGGATGTGGGGTATATGGATACTGTATTACCATTCCAATTTTTCTCTAAATATAAAACCAATCGTTAAGAGAAAAAAAAAAGAACAAATCAATCAACTTCTACAATACAAAAATTAGTGTTACTAGTCTAAATAAAATAGATACTTAATAAAGTGACACCATCCTCCTAAGCCCAGGCTACTGCTTATAAAAAATACCAGGGAAAGGCTCTGTTCTCTTGAGCAGCAAGCACTGAACGTACATCAGAATCCCCAGCCCTTCTCCTCGTCTAGTAGTGACTCTCAGAAATTTACTTCTATCTCCCTCCAGCCCTCATTAAAAAAAAAGAATACTAAACTAAGAGAATCAGGCTTGGATGGGGAGAGAAAATACCAGAGAGAAGAGATTACTTCTGTAGAAATGGATAATCTACTCTCTGCCCATATGGGGGGGGGGGAAGAATCTGTACATGGTCTTCAGTGAGCAAAGTACATAAACACAAGTTAGTACTTTAATTAATAGTAAGAGAAAAAATAAGGACCTGGTTAGATGTATGTTTTTAAATTAAAAGAGCTAATTACAGGTACAGAAGAAATAATAAAAAGGCCTTTCAATTAGATTTTTAAGCATGTGAAAAATATATTCTAGTAAGCTATAAAATGTCTACATTAATCTTTAAACCATTAATACACCTTTAAAAAGACAGTTGCACAAAACCAAATGCTTTTATGTTTGTAATAACCAGATAAAATCCTAGATGTGGCATATAAAACTAGAAATATACTCCTGAGTGACAGGCAGGGAAGATCTTGACTATGGTTTGCCTGTTCAAAAATCAGAAAAGTGACAATTCTGAGGACACCACCACTGCTACTTATAATTATTATTATTTTATTTTTGGATAAAGGATCCCACTGTGTTGCCCATGGTGAACTCAGAAGTCAACATCCTTCATAGTACCTGGAATCAGAACACATGCCACCATATCCTCCCCTATTGTGCTGAAACTCCAAACCAATTTGTTAGCAAATGTGTTTGATGTCAATATCTGACAGTTCTCGGAAAATATTAAACCCTTCTTAAAGGATTATTATTATTATTATTCCCATGTGTTTAATTAAGAAATATAGCTGCTATGATAAACTTTAGAAAGTATTTTGTCTAAACAGACATTATTAATTCTAAACTGTTCAAAAAAAAAGACTAGCAGAGGAGGGGTGCTAGAGGGATGGCTCTGAGGTTAGGAGCACTTACTATTCTTGAAAAGGACCTGGGTTTGGTTCCCAACTACCATGTGATGGCCCATGTGTAACTCCTATTCCAGGAGAACTGACCTTTGTAGGCACCCGGTATGCAGGTGGTGCACATACATACATGCAAACAAACACTCATACACATAAAAATAAAAGAAATAAATCTAAAAAGAATACACTATAGAGAAAATTCACTTGCAGGTATCAAATGAAACAAATCCAAATAAATTAGTCACTCTCAATTGTAGCACTAGGAGAATTAACAAGGGCAGACATTGGTGGTGCAATCATCAGTATCATCAAATAAATACATTCATTAGTTAACGAGCAACTATATATGCGTATATATATACGTTGTGTATACAGTGTTCTGCCTGCATGCATGCCTGCAGGCCAGAAGAGAATGCCAGGTCTCTTTATAAATGGTTATGAGCTATCATGTAGTTGCTGGGAATTGAACTCAGAACCTCTGGAAAAGCAGCCAGCACTCAACATCTGAGCCATATCTCCAGCCCTAGTGAATATATTTTCAAGTGCACACACACACACAAAAATCTTAAGAATCAGATACAGTGTACGCCTACAGTCCAGTTAGTTGGGAACTGAAGCAGGAGAATCTCTTAAATTCAGGACTTCAAGACCAACATGAGTAACAACACAGTGAGACCCTATCTAAAGAAAAAAGGATAATTTTCAAATATATATAGAAGTATAAGTAAATTTAAATTTTCTATCTGTGCTTAAGCTGTGGTAGAGTACACATGACATATAACTTACTATCTTACCCACTTTCACCATGGACAAGTCAGCAGTGTTGCATATAATGGAAATACTACTGCGCAACCAACCTCCAGAATTTCAAAAGTGTAACACTAGTATTCACAAGCAGAACTGCAGAAGAGACAAGATCTTAAATGATAGTTTAAGCTATTTAAGCTATTTTATTTTATTCTTGCCCATGTAGTCAATTACAAAATGTCAAAGGTCACCTATTTATCCCTTTACAGCAGAATCTTTTTTGTTGCTGTGGAATTTTGAAATCCTTTTCCTTTACTCAAAGCTCCACGTGGAAACCAGGATTTGTGCAACTCTACACCATGAAACCTATCACTAACCAAACTGATAGGATGCTCTTTTCAAGCTCCCTGTTTCTTCAATTAAGTCCCTGACTGAAGGCATTCACATCACAGGTACAAATCTCTGGGGTAGCACTCCTGTGCAGTGTCACGTAACCAAATCGCTCTAGGAAGAAAGGACAGCCTTTTATTTCCAGACCTCTCCTTCAAGTGGACATGAAACAATTCAGACCGCTAAGTTAGCATTCTGTTGCATTCTGGCAGTCTAGGGCCAGCTTTCACAGACAACCTCCCAGACCTATCTCAAGAGCCCATCAACTGGCAGGCCTAGTTCACAGGCCGGCTGAAACACTGGACACTCACTGGTTTCCTTTTCTCTTCTGATTTAACTTCTGATAGGTCACAGGACCGCAGACACACACAATCTTATTACAGGAGTGTTTCCCAGTTCACATTCCGACTGTTCAAACAGCAGCAGTGAGATGGAACCTGACAAGCGTTCATTTGTGGCCTAGTCACATCTGTGCGATGTTCAGACAGAATGAAAAGAACTAGTTGAAGACAAAACAGGTAACCATAGTAAACGCAGGGGCAGAAAAGGTGTTTGTTTCCACTGCCAAACATGATTCCCCTCTCCGTTTTATTTTGAAAATACACTGTATTAGAACGGTAATCATTCTTCAGAACTGCATTCAAGACCCTATTTTGCTTCAGAGCAATAAATAAATAAAATTTAAAGAAATGAAAAAACAGCAAGCATAGTTCTAGAAGGTTTTCTTGTATGGCATTAACAAAAATATTACTGACATTTTTAAAACTGTATTCTAAAAATTGGTTGGGGTGTGTGTATAGGTCAGAGGACAAATTGCTAGTGTCAGTTCTTTCCCCCATGAGTTCTGGAGATGCAACTGAAGCAAATGTCCTTACCACAACACCCCCCACCCCCCGAAAAAGAAAGTGTCTATTTAAAAGTAGTTAAAAGTAACTCTTAGGTGCTGAGAGTCAGGACACAGAAAACTAATAAAATGCAGATAACTACTGAAGCCCAAACTAAATCCACTCCCAGTGATCACATGCTGAGCCCTGCCTCTCTGATTTCTGCAATGGAACCATATTCCCTAATCCCCAAGTATTTGAAAGCTATATAAAGCTCCTTTAGGGGCACTTGTTTCCCACAACTCTCTGCCAGGAAGTTAAGACAAGGGCATGCAGAGGCCTTAATGCCCAAACTGGAAAGCTTTAGGCTAAGACTCTGCTTAGAGATTAACTGCCTCTCTGAGCACCTGAAGCATATTTTAAATGCTTCTCGCTATTCTCATTTCTGTGTGCAGATATCGTCTCAGTGCTGTATAAATTAGTCATACTGTAAGCTCTATTTTAGACGCTGTGTACAGTACATATATAGAACGGCCCACAGCAGTGGGAAACGTGCATGGACCCACATCTGAGCTGGGTGCGAAAGTCAGGTGGCTTCCACGAATGCTCTGATGGTCATTAAAACTATCCATCCTGCCCCCTGTTCTCAATGATTTTCTTCGAGCTAGGATAAGCATGAAAGGAGGGAGGGCATGTGATTCCGCAAACTGCCCAGGAATAGGAAGGTACCCGGCTTCCCACCCATGCCGCCGGAAGGTCCTCACCTCCAGCTTGTCGGTGAGCTCCTTGTGCATCTGCTCGTACTGTCGGCTCATGTCCTGGTTCCTCTCGAGCAGTGCCTTGCCTAGCCGGGCCGCCAGCACTAGATCCTTCTCCTTCTGTCGGATCACCGACAGCAGCTCGGGATCCTGGGTGGACGGAGGCGGCCCGTGCCCCTCAGCCGGAGACCCCGGCTCCGCCTGTAGATGCTCCCCGGGATCGGACGACCGCTCCCCGGCCGCCAGCAACACCAGCTCCTCCTCTAAGGCCAGTTCCAGTTCCCCGGGGCCCCCGGGGAAAGAGACGAGGGCGGCGGCGGCCGCGGCGGCGGGACTCCCGACTGCGTCCCCGGCCCCAGCGGGCAGCTCCATGCAGCAGGCGCTGTCCGGCTCGGCAGGTGCTGAAGCTCGGCCGGCCAAGCCCAGGCAGAAGGCGGACATGGCCCGCGCGCGCCGAGCCCGCAGCGGTGCGGCCCGGCCGGCGCGCGCCAGGCTGCAGGGGGGAGGGGCCCCGCCGCGCCGCCCCGCGCTTCGCTTCGCCTCGCGCCGCGGCACGCGCCCCCCGGGTCCCCGCGAGCCCTGGGCGCGGCGCGCGCGGGCGGCCCGCCCCTCCCCCGCGCCGGCGGCACGCGCCCCCGCCCCCGGGGCTCAGCTGCGGCGCGCACCCGGGACGAGGACGAGGGGGCGAGGGGGTCGCCGAGAGCGGCAGAGGAAGGGGAGAGTGCGGGGCCGCGAAGTGGAGGGGAGGCCGCGGAGAGGGTCGCCGCGAGGCCCGGTTTTCAGCCGCCCTGTTGCTGTTGCTGCTGCTGCCGCCGCCGCCGGCCGGCCAGCGCCTCACGGGGCGGGCTGCGCTCCGCGGTCGCTGCGACGCTCGTGGCTGCTGCTGCTGCTGCCGTCGGCCGCTCCCTGCAGCCGCGCTCCATGTCCCCCGGCTCGGCGGCAGCAGCGGCGGCGGCGGCGGCTGCTGCTGCCGCTGCAGGGGCCGAGGCGGCGGCTCGACATCTTGCGTCGCGCGGCCCCGGAGCGTTCCTTCCTGCCTTCCCGGCCCCTCGGCTCACCGGGCCAAGGCACCCGCCCCGCGCTTCCGGCCGCGCCCCTCTCCCCGCCCCTGGGCCGGCGCCTGACGCGCGCGGGCACCTGTTCGCCGCGCCCGCGCGGGATTCGCCGCCGCTCGGCTCTCCTCAGCCGCGCCCAGGTGGCGCCGGCTTAACCCCGACGTGGCCTCACGCGTCGCCAGGCGGCTGCGCGCGCCGCCCGTGGGGACGCCCGGCGCATCCCGAGAGGGCCGCAGCCGCTCCTCCGGCACAGCCACACCCCCGGCCTCCGGTCGGCCCGCGGCCACGCCCCCTGCGTGCTCACCTAAGGGTGTGGCTCTCCGCCCCCGCGACTCCCACCCTCGCGGTGGGCACTCGGCCACGCCCCCAGCCTCGTTCTCGCCCGGGTGTGGCCACGCCTCCCGCGCGCTCACCTCTGGGTGTGGCCTCCTCCGGACTCCCACGCTCTCACCTAGGAGGGAGCTCTGCGGCGGGCGCGCACATCCTTCCGGCGCCTCCGCTTCCACCCGGGGCCTGGCATGAGTCTCAGTCCCGATCCCTGAAATGACTGGGTCTTGTGTCTCCGACGAGGCTGCGGACAGTTTTGTGGGTCAGGTAGCCAAGCAGCAGCGAGCCATAAGCAGTCCGGGAATTTCGACCTGGACCCCTAGGAGAGCTAAGCAGTCGGGAGAGGGAGCCCTAGAGAAACAGGAGGCGGAGGAATGACTTGGGGGAACCCAGCATCTTGACGCTGATGACTCAGGGATATGAGCAGATGCTTCCACCAGCAGCCGAGAGAGAAAAGGTTTTGTGGAGAAATAACGGAAAAAACTGTTCACAGATGGAGAATACGAAACAAAGACTTTCCTCAGTAGATAACGACCCTGTGTGGTGTCCAGCTTTTCGTTTGATTGTTCTATGTGCATTATTTTAATCCCACAAGGATTTTACAAAGTGCTCTCATCCTTCCAGTTTCCATGGGAGGAAACTCAGGCCCGAGATTTGGGTCCTGCCAGGCAGACTCCAGGATTCCCAGTAAATCATTAGTCTTTCTTAACATATGACCTGTCTTAAGGAAGATTAAGTGGAGATTTTTTTTTTTTTTTTAAAAACTATGGGTTGATTCAGTACACGCTTCCTGGAGAGAGAAAAGCAGGACTACTCCACAGGGTGACTGCCAGTCAGGTCTTTCTTTGACCATACCGGTGATGCTGTGTACCTCTTTTTTTCAATTCCGTCGGAAGCCAGAACTGGTCTTTATTGTTTCCTTTTCCTCTTCAATGACAACCTAGTTTTTAGTGAAGTCATACCTTGGCACTTTACATCCCGGCGAAATGGAAATTTTAGGACACCCAGAAGTTGAGACGTTTCTCGTGGGTTTTGTTCTTTATTAAATACAGAGCCTAACCAATTACCATGTATGCCAATCCAGTTTCAGACCAAAGGAAGAATCAATCCAAAAAGGTCTGGAGCCTAGGGGCTGGCTTTGGGAAAAAGACACAACAAATTTGTTTGTTGTTGTTTTTTGTTTGTTTTTCGAGACAGGGTTTCTGTGTGTAGTTTTGGAGCCTGTCCTGGAACTCACTCTGCAGTCCAGGCTGACCTCATATTCACTGAAATCCAACTGCCTCTGCCTTCCAAGTGCTGGGATTAAAGGCGTGCACCACCACGGCTAGACACAGAAATTTTTTGAGCTAAAATAGTCACTTAGCCGCAGTTCCATGGAGCAATGGACTGTTCCAGTAGATTTTATTATGTCCTGTCACACGCACCTTGGGTAGAATTTGTAGGTCCTCGCAGGCTTGCAGATGAAGCTCCCCTTTGCCGTGTTTGAAACACAAAAGGATAAATCTCTCATCTACAAGGAGGCACAAATGGAGAACAGCAGGATTTCCTAAGCAAAGCGATCTTGGGCTGTTCGCTTTTCTTTAATGCAGAAAGACACACCTGGAAAAGAGTGGTTTGCTGGCCTTCATTTAGTTGTTGCTATGGAAATGAACTACTGCATGATTGATTTTAGCTTCTAGCTTCTGCTTTTTTAATTTGTTGAAACAAGGTCTCACATAGCCCCTGCTGGCTATAAACTTACCATGTAGCTGAGGATGACTCTGCAGTTGGAATCTTTCTCCTTCCATCTCAGGAGTTCTAGGTGTGCAAGTGTGCACCCAGATGGAAGTAATCATTTCTTACTAAAGTTTGCTCGTAAGTAGTATGTTTCTATAAATGTCCAAAAAAGGTCAGGTTAAGTATGGAGAACTATTCAGAATAATGCTTTTTTTTGTTTTGTTTGGGTGTTTTGAGTGTTTGTTTGTTTTTTGAGACAGGGCTGCTCTATGTAACCGCTCTGGCTATCCTGAAACTCTCTTTGTAGACCAGGCTGGCTTTGAACTCACAGAGATCTGCCTGCCTCTGCCTCCCAGGTGCTAGAATCAAAGGTGTGAGCCACCACCACCCAGCCAGAATATGTTTCTTAAACTGTTTGGTCTCAGAATCACTATACACTCTTAGAAGTTATTGAAGACATTAAAAACAGGTATTTAGAACCAGAAGAAAAAAAAAAAACCATACTGAGTGAGGTAACCCAGACCCAGAAAGACATATATAATATGTACTTACTCATAAGCAGATATTAGATATAAAGCAAAGGAAAACCAGCCTACAGAGTACACAACTCCAGAGAACCTAGACAACAGAGAGAACCCTAAGAGAGACATACGTGGATCCACCTAGGAAGGAGAAAAAGACAAGATCTGAGTAATTTGGGAGTGTGGGGGGCTGGGAGGAAGGTGGAAGGGGAGAGCAGAGGGAGGAAGAGGAGTGGGAAAATGTATAGCTCAATAAAAACAATAAAAGTTACCATTATTTAACATAGGTTTAGATATTTATATTTGCCATATGAGACACTGAAATATAGAAGAGGCTCTAATATATTTAAAAATACTTCTAATAAACACATTATAAAATATATATTATGAATAATTATATCCCCAAATTTAAAAAAATTAATGAAGCTGGGCATGGTGGTACCAGGCCTTGGGGGCAAAGGCAGGTGGATCTCTGCATTCAAGGCCAGCCTGGTCTACAAAGTAAGTTCAAGGACAGCCAGAGCAGTTATACAGAGCAACCCTGTCTCAAACAAAGAAAAGCTAATGAGAAAATCGGCATTTCTCATTTTGCAAATATCTATAAGGTCTACTTAAACTAAAAACTAACTTTGTGATACTTAACTTGATAGTTTTAAGATTTTTAAAAAGTTGTGTCTCTATAGGCATGTGTATATGAGTGCAGTTGCCCAAGGAGGCCAGAAAAGGGCATGGGAGCCCCTGAAAGCTGAAGTCACAGCCTAAAGCCACCCAGTGTGGGCGCTAAGAGCTGAACTGAGCTCATTTGGGGAAGCAGTGCCAGCTCCTAACCCTTGAGCCATCTCTCCAACTGGTGATGCGTTATTTTGATTAAAATGTATGAATTAAAATCTGTTCTCAGCGGGGTGGTGGTGGTGCATGCCTTTAGTCCCAGCATTCAGGACGCAGAGACAGGCAGATTTTTGTGAGTTCGAGGCCAGCCTGGTCTACAAGAGCTAGTTTCAGGACAGGCTCCAAAGCTACAGAGAAACAAACCCTGTCTCAAATAAAAAGAAAGAAAAAGAAAAGAAAAATTCCCCCCCCCCCGCCAATCTGTTCTCCTCAAGGTATATCCTGGGAAAAAAGAGGAATATTTTAATAACCTTTTTGAATCTTGGTTTTTTGGTTCTGTACTGATATTGATCCTGTTGAATGGATCTTTAGGCAGTGTATGACTTATTCTGTAATCATATACTTTGGTAATGTGGAAAGTAAGTTCATTGAGTTATGCAAATCTTCCAAATATTGTCACTTGATTGCCATTTGATGCAGAATCAAAAGAATAATATTTATTTTACATAGTGACTCCAGTAATTCAGGAGGCTAAAGCATCAAGGTGCTGCAATTTTGAGGCCAGACTGAGCTACATAGTCAGTTCAGCATCACCCTGGGCTACAGTGTGAGATCCTGTCAGTACTTACTATTAAAGTCTTTAAGTATTGGGACAGTTCTAGCTCACTGAGATGGATATGCATTTTCCAAAAGTCTGCTAGAAAAAATTACAAATTTTATAATTGATAATAGAGATTGTCAACTGTTTTTTTTTTTTAAAGATTTATTTATTTATTATGTAAACAACATTCTACCTCCATGTATCCCTGCAGGCCATTACAGATGGTTGTGAGCCACCATGTGGTTGCTGAACTCAGGACTTCTGGAAGGGCAGCCAGTGCTCTTAACCACTGAGCCATCTCTCCAGCCCCCTGTTAACTTGTTTTGCTTGAAGTGATATCTTACTTTATTAATTCTTGACAAAATCTAAATGCTGTCATTTATCATTCACTGAGTTCAAGTAAAAATGGTATTTTCTGAAAAACAAGCATGGCTGTCTTAACTCATGACTCTATAATGATTTAAGTGTCGGATCTTAAGACAACCGTCATGTCCTAGTATGCAGTAG